TATAATGTGTTAGTTAATTTAGATTTAATTCTCTCATCCCTCCGTTCCCTACTCCCATTTCGAGTCTAATGATTGTAAATGACACGGCAAAACGACGAAATGTCGCAGAAACAATAAAATAAAATAAAACAAACAGGAACCACTGTGATTAGGAAGAATCAGGGCTGTCACAGGAATCGTCGTCTTCGTCGTTCATCGTCGGCCGCCGTTGTCCCACTACAGTCCTCACAGACGAAGAAGAAGACGAAGCAGCAGCACCACCAGCAGGTGTCACTCCTGCTGCGGCGGAGGCAGCAGCAGCAGCTGCGCCGCTGGAGCTCAAGTCGGACGCCGTTGCCGCCGGAGCGCCGACGGCGGCGGCGGCGGCGGAAGTCGACGATCGCTTAGCCCTCGTTCTCTGTTCTTGTTCCTCGCGTTCCCGACGGGCTTGTTCGTTGATTTCCCGCACGGCTCGCATTTCCTTCTTGAGTTTCATGCGGCGGTTCTGGAACCAGATTTTCACTTGGCGCTCGCTCAGACACAGCGCGTGCGCAATTTCGATCCGCCGCCGCCGCGTGAGGTAATGGTTAAAGTGGAACTCCTTTTCCAGCTCCAGGGTCTGGTATCTTGTGTAAGTCTGTCTGCCGCGGCGCCGGGGACAACCGTTCGGACCTGTCAGGAAATTAAATAAAGTAAAAAATAAATAAAATAAATAATAAACGGGGACACACACCATCACCACTATTGTACTAGAATGCAGTATACCAGTGCTCCCCAACCTTTTTGGGCCCACAGACCAGCAAATTTCCATAACATTTTCTGCGGACCAGCAAAAAATTCCATACAATGTTTGGTGACCAGCAGAACATTTTAAAATATACTCGCCATACATTCCTCAGAACAAAACTTTTATTCCAAAAATTAAGTTGAAGCAGCTATATATACAGTGGAAATGTATTTTACAAAATAGGATGCTGGGCTTGAAGAAAGGTTTCTCAGGTTGAAAACTGGAAGTAACATATTTCAGCAGGTGAAAATATGTCTGAATTGCAATTTAGAGAAAAACCAATAATTTATTTTTTCATCGGACGATTTTAACCGCCATATATTGTCTCTAAAATTTTGGATTGCATTAGCAGACTTCATTACTGCTTTTAATAAATATTTATGTGGAATAATTTTACCTGCCGACTGGGAAAGAACTTCTGACAACTGGCGTCAGTCTGTAGATCATGGGTTAATTGGGAACACTGAAGTATACAGTGGATCCTTGGTCAACAAACCACTTGATTAACACACTTTTTGGTTTGAGGAAAAATCCTTTGGTTAACAAACCAAAACTCGGTTAACAAACTTTTTTCTGGGGAAAAATAATAACAAATTTGATTACACGGGTGAAATTTATGGTAGAATTGAAGTGCAAATAATTCACCTACGCACTGATACGAAAATTCTTCCCTTTTTGCACTCTCATATAAGTAATCTTGTGTTTTAAAATTTGGTTTGGCTACATCATTCGTTTATGATTTTCTGCGACGTAATTATTTGCTTCTCTACTTGGTTTTTCTAGTTGTTCAATTTATTTAGACAAACTTTGAAGGTTTAATCGATTTTCTCTTCCAGCATTAAAAAAATTACATTTTCACACGACAAATGTATCCTACAGTGTGTTTCTCTGGATGTAAAGCTTTTTATTTTCATTTTTCATTTGTGCTACTTCCATATAGCACAATAAAACCATTCTGGGCTCATATAAGATGCAGCAACATCTTATTCTGATTATAGTTGGAAGTCTTGAATTGTTTACTGTATAATCAATGTTCAAGTGTCTATTGGGTTCACAGGATGGATTAAATCCTTCCCCATTGAAGTCTATGAGAAAAAATAATCCAGTTAACAAATTTTTTGGTTAAAAAACTGTTGACTGGAAACAATCAAGGTCATTAACCAAGGGTCAACTGTACGCCTTTTCTTTCAATCAATAATGTTCTTCAAGTCAGCCCTGGGAGCCTTTTTTTTGTTTTGCTGGTCCACAGGAGAATTTCCAATAGAAGGATACATTATGTATTTCAACAAATCTTAAAACTCATGAACCAACCATTGTATATACAACTCTCACTCCTAGCGTTTCTTTGCAGACTGAGCAAATAGATTTTCAGGTAAGCTTAGTCAGAAACATACTCAAAAAATCAGAAATATGTTACATCTCTAGAGTTTAGCACAATTTTCAACAATGGCTCTCATTTCTTCAATCGTTATCTATTTTTTTATATGCTAAAATATCTTGCTACATGCCTTTTTCCCTTTTCACTTCTTCAAACCTAATCTTACAGAAGTGCGCTGAACGTTGGCATTTGGGATGGAATTTCAGTGTTCACTATTTCACTTGAAACAAAGTTTTTGAAGGTACATCATCAA